CTAGTGGGATAATACTGCATCACTTATTTTTATGTCTACTTTGTGGATAATCTCTTTTTTCTTTCTGGTGGATTGTAAGTTTTTTATCTTTTATGTTCTGAAATTCACTCTAGTTCAGAAGTGAGTAAGCTCATGGGCTGAATCTGGCTTGATGCCTGTTTTTGTGCAGTCAATGAGCTAAGAGTAGTTTTACAGTTTTAAATTTGTAAATACAAAAGAAGACTATTTCATGACATGAAAATATGTTATGAAATTCAAATCTCAGTGTTAAAAGTTATACTGGGTCCCAACAATGTTCACTCATTTACATATTGACTGATTTATTTCATGGATGGCAGAGCTGAGTTAATTGTAAAATCTCATTGTGACAGAGATCCAGAAAATCTAAAATATTTACTTGGCAAGAAAACTACTGCTGATTCTGGTATGTCTTTTTATTTGCTTGAACAATTACAGTTCTAGGAATCACCTGACTACTTTTCCCATTGTTATCTATGAGGATTTCTTAACCCAATCAATTAATTTTAGCTGTTTTCATTCTTTTTTAAAGATTATTTTATTGGGGGCTCTTACAATCCAAACATCAATTCTATCAAGCATATTTGTACATATGTTGCCATCATCATTTTCAAAACATTTGTTTTCTATTTGAACCCTTGGTATCAGCTCCTCTCTCACCCCCCTTGTGAACCCTTGATAAATTATAAGTTAGTATTATTTTTCATATCTTATACTGAGCACTGCGTCCCTTTACCCATGCTTCTACTGTTTGACCCCCTCAAGGGTGCGGTGTTGTACGTCGATGATTGTAATCACGTCCTCCTTCCTCCCCCCAGTGGTATCGCTACTCCCATTTCTGTTTCTGAGGGGTTTATCTGACCTGGATTCCGTGTGTAGCCGTGTACTTATCTGTACCAGTGTACGTGTTCCAGTCTAGCCAGAACTGAAAGGCAGGACTGGAGTCATGATAGTGGAGAGTGAGGAAGCCTCAGAGAACCAGAGGAATCTTATGTGTTTCATCAGTGCTATGCTGCACCCTGGTCGACTCATCCCTTTCTTGTGATCCTCTGTGAGGGGATGCTCTATTTTCTACAGATGGGTTTAGGTCTCTGCTTCGACCCCCATCGTTCTCAACACTAAGTTTTTTGGTTGTGTTTTGGCTCTTCTGATGTCTGTTACCTGATCCCGTCAACACCTCATGATCACACAGGCTGGTGTACTTCTTCCATGTGGGCTTTGTTGTTTCCCTGCTAGATGGCCACTTGTTTAACTTCAAGCCTTTACGACCCCAGACGCTATATCTTTTGAGAGCCAGGCATCATCAGCTTTGTTCACATTGGCTTATGCACCCATTTGTCTTCAGTGATTGTGCAGGGAGGGTGAAGATCACAGAATGGCCAGGCAGTTAGAACAAAGTGTTCTTGTGTTGAGGGAGCTTGAGGCAGAGGTCCAAAGTCCATCCACTTCCTCAATGTTTTGCCATGTACATAGGCTAATACCTATATTTTTATTAATATATTTACCTAAGTGCACACCTGTTTATGCCCCTATCTATAGCTTTGCTTCCTAGATCTTTCCTCTTTTTCCTTTTACCTTCCTCCTGCCCCTCCATCATACTTGCCCTTCTTCTGCCTCTTAGTAATTTTTCTCAGTGAGATTGCTGTTGTTCCAACATCACCAGGATCTCTATGGCCTCCTCTTGTTGCTTTTAATTCCCTAGTTTTCCCCGTCTGTGGCGTTGTTTGCACACCTATTTTCATTCTTAAACCCAATGAATTGAACTGTTCATTTCAATAATATTTTTATTTCCAAGAAACTAGCTAGTATTCCTTTAGAAATGGAATGTTTCTCCTCTCCCTTTCTAAGAAAAATATTAATCATAAAGTCTTGTTCTGACTTCTGTAGTAATGGTTTCCAAGGATGTGAGTGCTTCCATTATTGGGTAGGACCTAAGCTGCTGGTTCCCTCTGTAATCTGAATTCAAGGACTTTCCTTTTTCCAGTGGCTCACTGCAAGTCTGTCAGTGATGCTCTGATTTTTTGGTTTTTATATGGTGTGGGAAATGGAAAACAGCAATATATTTCAGTTTCTCTCTCTGAAATCAGAAGCTGGTATATATTATGCTGCCCTTTCAAAATCTACTGAATCTTTATAGTTGAATAAAATAAAATACTTTATAAGTGTCCTATAGACATAAACCACAAAGATATTTTCTCTTTTTAGGAATAGTTTACTGTATCTGTTAGGAAAAGTTTGTTTCCTCTTTTTGCAAGATTTTTAACTATAAAATTTTGGTGTTATCAGGACAGCTTTTTTTGGATCTTAATTATTTTTTAATTCAGTGCCTGTGTTTTGTTTTGTTATGGTTTTTGGTTGTGGTTGTCATTTCATAATTAAATCTTTTTTTCTTTGAATCCATAAATTTATTTCATTTACATCCATTGATTTAAAAACATATGCCTGAATCGGTCAGCTTTAATTTATACTGTATGGCCTATGTTTCTACTTTGTGTATATGTGTTTTAATTGAATAAGAATATTTAACAGTCTGGTTTTAATTTTTTTAATGTTTGTTTTAATTAATATTTTAAGTCCCAACTTGATTTATCAGCTTGAAAAGGTTTCTGCTGAAACACTTGTTAGCGAAACTTTCACATATTTTATCTTTATCCTCGTAAAATCCTAATTTTAGTTATTAATCAGTAAATTTACCGAAATTCCTATTTGGAAGCTCAAGGACAAAAAACTTTTAATCACACCTGTGAATCCATGTGTCTGTCTTCTCTTGTGATGCAGTTAGGCTAAAGGAAAACCAATGAATGATGGATAATTTTAAGATATTGACATAAAAATGACACTCAGGTTTGTGACTAAACAGATTAGAGAAATCTCTAGATTAAAGAAAGTGATCTTCCCTAGCAGTCTCAGAAAAGGTACTAAAAGACTTAGTGGTGGGGACAATTTGGGAGTCTGCATCATTTGTTGTTTTCTCAAAAACCCACCAGTGTCTTTGTAAGTAATCCTTATAACATGTGGATACACTCTGTTTTCTGTACTTCTAGGAATTTATTTTATATGTCTAGTTATGTATGTAATCAAATGACATATAGGATTATTCATTGCAAAGTTATATTTCTAATATTGAACTATGTGGAGGACTGTAATACAATGGTGTAGCTATACAGTAGAATAATATGTAATGAACAGCTGTAAAAATAAGAACATTTTAAAGATACATCTATGAAGTAATCTCCAATGTACAAGAAGGTTTAAAAGAATTTGTGGATAAATTCCATTATCTTTTAAAAAAATTTTAAAATTCTGATTATTTTTTAAAATTCCATTATCTTTTAAAGTTTTATTGTGAATTAGGTAAAGGGTTACAGAGCAGATCATCAGTTTCACATTTACTAATACATCAAATCTCCCAATGTATTGCCCTTTTCCCATCATTTTTTGCCTATTTTCCTCTTGTTGAATATTTTTTATCCTTCACCCAAGTTAAGGAGTCCTGGTGGCCGTGTTGGTCTGATAAACATAAGGTTAGTAGTTCAATACCACCAGTTGCTCCTTGGGAGGCAGATGGGGCTTTTTATTCTGGTAGAGATTTAGTCTTAGAAATCGGCAGGAGGAAGCTCTACTGTGTCCTGCAGGTGGCTATGAATCAGAATGGACCTGACAGCACGGAGCTTTCACCTAAGTTAGCACCTGTCAACTTCTAGCCTATGACTTCTCCTTCCTTCCTTCTCCTCCCATCCCTGGAAAATATCAGTCTTGTTTCTTTTAGTGTAAAACTTTACGTGATCTTTAATTATACCTTTCCATGTGTTTTTAAATGACACCCCCCACCCCCACCCCCGCCTATATTGTTAAATGTGGAAAAAATCAAGGTGCTACACAGTGAATAGTATGCTACCATTTGTATCAGGAAAAAAATGGATGTGTATGTGTACTTATATATGTATAGATAAAGGTGCTCTGTTGGGTAAGCACTGAACTGCTGCTATCCACAAGGTTGGTGGTTCAAACCCACCAGTCACTCCATGGGAGAAAGATGAGGTTGTCTGGTCCTGCCAAGATTTATGGCCTTGGAAATAGGCTTGCTATGAGTTGGCATTGACTTGGTGGTAGTGGGTTGGTGTTGTGCGTGTGTGTATGTATGTATGTAAATGAGGAGGCTTCAAAAAGTCTGGAAAAATGTAATTAAAAGTAACAATGAATTTTCCATGGACTATTGCAGCCCCCTTGTATTCACATACTTTCTTTCTCTGTATATATTTATTTATTTTTCTCTGTATATGTTTATTTAGAGTCTTAGAAAGGTACACAAGAAAACGGTTACACTGGTTGCATTTGGAAAGAATTGGGGAAAAATAAATGTTTTACCGTTTATTATTTTGTCATTGAATATTGTGGCATTGAATGTATTGCCTTATTAAAATGCATTATGTTCAGAATAAAGATGATTTGAAAGCCTTCGAGAAACCATGACTGAAGAACTAGAGGACTTGCTACATGAGTTATTAGAAGCTGGAAAGAGCCAGCGGGTGACAACGTTGCTGAAATGTTTCAAACAGTGAAATTTCCGAATACTTTCATTTCTTACTGTGGTCCCCTTGTGGGCTTGCATATGACAGATTCTAGAGCAGGTTATTCACTGCTCAGGATTCAATGCACAAAATCACAGGTGATAAATCTATGTTAGGAATCTGGCCACACCCATTACTGAAAGTAGCTTCTGTTAGCCTCCACCTGTCTCTACACGGCTTGCTGAGAACACTAAAGCTCACAACTGCTCTTGACTCCAAGAACGCAGCTGTGACAAGTCTTTCTCAGGAAATCAGTGAAAAAGGGAAATGCAGATCGCTGGGGGAAATACTCATTTCACCAAAATGCATTCGCTTATCCTTTTTATGATATTCAAAAATGGTAAAAATAGAAGGGGTTTCTTGTTGGATTTTTTAAAAAGGTGGTTTCAGTATTCTACGAGAGCCACTCACCCTTCCTGGAACTGAGACTGGGCAGATTCCTGCGCAACAAGTGTCTCGTACTCCTCCGCCGCAAACCGGTCCCAGTCCGAGGGCTCAGGCCCGTCATTCTCAACATCCTGCGCGGAAAGAAGGTGGCCATAGGAGATAAGACGTAAGACAAATAACTGGAAACAGAGCATCACAAATGTTCCAGCTTCTCTCTGGGGGGCAACGGTCTAAAAATGTTTCATCTCAACATATTAAAAGAAGTGCTAAGGTAACTGTCATGCAATGATTTTTTTCTCTTTTTTAACATTTTATTAGGGGCTCATACAACTGTTATCCCAATCCATACACACATCAATTGTGTAAAGCGCATTTGTACATCGTTTCTCAAAACATTTTCTCTCCATTTAAACCCCCGACATTAGGTCCTCATTTTTTTCCCTCCCTCCCCGCTCCCCCCTCCCGCATGAGCCCTTGATAGTTTATAAATGGGTATTTTGTCATATCTTGCCCTGTCCGACGTCTCCCTTCATCCACTTTTCGGTTGTCTGTCCCCCAGGGAGGAGGTCACACACAGTTCCATGTAATCGGTTCCCTCTTTCCTACCCATTCTCCCTTTACCCTCCCTGTGTACCCATGTACTTCCTCTGGTCTAGCCAGTCTTGCAAGATAGAATTCCAGTCATGGTAGTGGGAGCGGGGAGGAAACCTTTAGGAACTAGAGGAAAGTTGTATTTCTCATCGCAATGATTTATTACACCTCATACCCTGAACTTCAAACCCAAGGTTTAGCAGCTAGATTCCTGAGTCTTCTAATCAGAGACCTTCTCCAGCAGCCTCTTCCTGGCATTTTGCACAGCTGCTATCTGATATGACTGTGATTTGTACTTGCTGATCTGAAATGCACCACAACACCCCTTTCTCTGGCAAATTCTTGTTTTTTTAAAAGCTAGTTTAGACAGCAGCGTCACCTGTCCTGTGATCTACTCCTAGAAATGTCCCTCTTGTCCCAAGTCACTTCATTCTCTATTATAAATAATATCTGTATCGGTGCCTGGAATTTAGTGAGTACTTTCTGATTAACAATGATCTTTGATGATCAGAATATTGATAATTATTTCTTATACAGAAAAAAGTTACAAGTAAAATCATAACACAGATAAAAGTGCAGGAGTAGGAAAGGCTACACATTTTCTTGCTCATCTACATGGTCTGGACAATGTCCTGGATCAGGATTTTCAGGTAAGATACCTCCTTTCTACTTTCTAGGATGAAAGTCCACTAGCAGAGGTTTAATCTGACTGGAAACTGTGCAGATTGTTGTGTGTGTGGGGTGGTGGTGGTGGTGGTGGAGTAGTTTCTAATGGAAATACAATTCACTCAATAGAAAGTCTTTGGCAAACAAAGGTTACCTACACTTGAATATTATTTCTTTAAAGTCTGGGATTGCAGAGACCAGTTTTATATTGATATGTAGCACCCAGCCCTTGATACTGAGCTCTCAAATAGAAACTAAAACAATACTGGTACCTTTTGGACTGCAAATGGATCTCTCTGTTCATGGTCTAAGTATTTCTCCAGATTAAAGAAAGTGTCATAAAAGGTATGAGCCATTCTGCACCTCTTCAGATCCCGGAGCGTAATTTTGCCTGCACAGAAACAAAGTAGGTCAGTGTTACCAAGAGTTGTTTTGGCAAGTGCAAAAAAATTTCACTGACATTTAAGAGATCTATATGTATATGTCTATTTTATTATAATAATCCCTTTTCTTTTTCCTTACTGAGGAAAAATTCATATAACAAAGTTCACCATTCTGATAATTTTAAAGTGTATAAATTCAGTGGATTTTTTAGTATATTCACAATGTGGTTCAATCAACACGACATTTTCATCACCCCAAGAGGAGGCCCCATACTCATTAACTGGTCACTTCACATCCCCTTCTCCCCCAAGCCCCTTGCAGTCATTAACTAACCTGTATTTCTCTTTGTGGAAAAAGAAGTCCCATTTCTTAACCAAAGGATTTGGTTCTAAACTAATAGTAAAGTTGAAATTCTAATACACTTCTACACTCATAAAGTCAGTAAAGATGATGCTGGGAAGTTAAAATAGTCTAGGCTCTCTGGGATTCTGTACTCCACTCTGTAATACAGGTGAATAGTTCAAATGCCCTTTGCTACAGGCTCACCATCACTGGCTGGCTTCACCAGGTCAAGCATTTGGCAAAGCAAATCATGGAATGGCAGAGGCTCGATACCCATGGCTTCCATCCGCTCACACTGCTCCTCGTAGAAGTACTCCAGCTCATACATGGACAGGACGCCATCGCCATCCACATCCATGCAGCGGAACCAATACTCGATACTAGAAAATACGGACACTCATTAGCACAGGCCTTTGACTCATTGGGCTTACTGTTGCCTGTGTTTCTTTAAAAATAAGTGCTATGCATGTATGTGTCAGACATAATAAGACAGTTGCATGAACTAAGGTTGCTAGCCACAGTTTGACAGTTCAAGCCCATCAGCTCCTACACAGGAGAAAGCTGAGGCTCTCCGCTTGCCAATAGATTTACAGTCTCAGTAACCTTATAGAGGGTTTCTGTGAGCTAGAATGGACTTGATACCCCATTTTCCCAAAAATAAGACCTACTTACAGTTTTGCCTCTCGCTGAAATATAAGGCATCCCCCTGAAAATAAGACCTCCCTGAAAATAAGGCCCCCTGAAGCTACCATAACCCTGGACTCTGGACTGTAGCGGTGGGCGCCGCCGTGCAGCTCACTGTTGGCCGCAGCGCAGCCGGAGCAGACAGGAAGTGTGAGGTCTCTTAATAAAACAATAAACAATAAATGTGTACTGTATTCTTCATGGAAAAATAAGATATCCCCTGAAAATAAGACCTAGCGCATCTTTGGGAGCAAAAATTAATATAAGACATTGTCTTATTTTTGGGGAAACAGGGTAACAGTGGGTATGAATAGGTTTTAGCTCTTTTTGTTGTTGAGGTTTTAGCTCTTAATACTTCCATCTTAACTGTATGTCTGTCCCATCCTCTTACCATAGCGAAATTACTATTTAGAGTTTATACTTTTTATTTATCTTTTATTTACTTTCCTGTGTACTGGTCACTAATTCAAGCCCAAATTCTCTGCCAATTGTATACATTTACAATCGGGCACAACAGATATTTGATTACGTGAATCTTGACGCGGTCTTTCTTGGTTCCTTCTGACCCGCTCTAATCTGGACTGGTTCAATTTCACCCTAAGTATTCCTTTTACTTTCCCTGCCTTTCTCTCGCTCTCTCTCTTTTTTCCTTCAGTTTTATTGGCACTTTATCCACATATCACACAATCCAATTGGTCAATCATATCAAGAAGACTTCTACATTACCACAATCAATTTTAGAACATCAGCATCTTCCTTGTACTCATTGTTATTTGTTAATTATAATTGTGGCAAAAATAAACATAACAAAACATTCTCCAATTCAACAACTTGTATATGTATAATTCAGTGCCACTGATTATACTCTTTGTGTTATACAACCATTATTGATATCCTTTTCCAAATTATTCCACCATTGTTAACAAACTCAATGCCCCTAAACAATAACTCTTCCTCCTTCGCCCATGGTAACTATAATTTCCTTGATGTAATATTCACATATCATACACTTCATAGTTAAAACGCTTTTTAAAAGAGTTGTATATACATCATCACAATCATCTCTAGTGCCTCCCCCCCTAGTAACTGTTTACTCCACAATTCCCCTCACCCTTCCCACTCCTGTTCTGATAAGCCACTGTATCAGTTATTGTCTCTCTGCATGCACTCCTGTGCTTCATAAACTGATCGAACTAAGAATAAGCAAAAACACAACAAAATACAAAGAAAATCATAATATAAAGATTAAAAAAAAAGAACAACAAAGAAAGGACTACCAACAACATTAAAAAAGCCAAACAGTAAAGCTGTTTGAGTTACTCACCTGTGGCTAGAGGGGATCTGCCAGAGCCTTAATCTGGCTAGAGAGACTGCAGATGGATTTTGGGCTTCCATTTACCTCCATAGCTTTCTACAAATTGGGTGTTCACATTTTAGGCTCTGATACTTTTCACTTTGTCATATTTGGATTTTGTTATTATCTTTGGATCACACAGGCTGGTGTGCTTCTTCTATGTGGACTTAATTGACAGCTCACTTGGATGGCTGCTTGTGTGAATACAGGCCTTTAAGAACCCAGATATTATTCCAATTGATAGCTGGGCACCATCTGCTTTCTTCACCATATTTTGCTGCAGCACCCTTATCTTCAGTGATCCTTCATGATGGTATCACACAGTCATGTCATAACAATGAATTTTTCTTGGATGGAGGGTAAAATGAAGTGGGAACACAGAATCCATCTTGTCCACGGGTTATGAATGACTCTGGTTTACTTTGGTGGTTATATTATGACAAAAAGCAAAACCAAAACCAAAACCAACATACCAAACAAACCAGCACCCCGTTGCCCCCAACCCCGGGGTAAAAGGCAATTGCATTGATAACAATAACATCCAATGGCATAGAATTTCAGGTACTGTTGATACGAGGAGTTATGCACGTAGAGTGTAACTGTGAGCTGCACTCAATGGTTGTTCTTTGTACAGGTTGACTTCCTAATTGACTGAGTTGTTTACATTGAGCATGGGGCGGGGCTTGGTAAAATTCCCTGTACCATTTCTTGCAAGAGCAGATCTTTGTTTACCAGGTTATTAATATCTGTCATATTAATGCAAGGGAAGCATTGAGGTACTAAATATATGGTGGTTCTGGGTCCCCTTTCATTGGGCACTCACTAAGCCAGGGGTCGCACCCAAGGTCTGGCAACTACCATTTCCTGCAAGTAGTTTTAAAAAATATTATTATTAAGATTTAATACATGTAACATCATTTTATACAAGCAGTTTTGAGATAAGGCCCACTTTGTTCAGTTAGGCTTCCACATCGAATCCTTCTAGTGTGGCCCTTGGGGGATGATGCCATGTTTGCTGTCAGGCCAGTGTCTAAGGTCAGCATAGTGCTTAGTGCATGGAGTGCTTCACCAAGGGTTGAGTATAAACATATTTGCAGTGCGACCCAGGAGCACAGAATGAGGTTTATTCTCTCTCCCCTTAGATTCCCTACAATTGTTTAGCATCTCTTCCAGATGTGAGGTTGCTCCTCCCCATTTACCTATCATACTCACGCCTCTGAAATGTAGATACTTCCCTCCCCTGGTCTCAACTTGATTTTCTAGTACGGTTCACCTCTCATTCCTTGTTGATTTGTCACAGCCTTGTCTCAAAGTTGTATAGCCTGAAGTGGACGGTCTTCTCCTCTTTCCCCCTTCCTGAAAGAGTGACCCCAGCAAATGTGAAGTCTCCTCTTTTGAGGTGGTTTTTATGTTGTGCACATAAGGGGGCATGATGCATGGTTCACAGCTGGTAGGCAGACATTCTACCCCTTCGGGAATTGGTCTCTAAGGTTTGTTCAGTTGGCATTTCTCCTTATAGTAGACTCATACAATATTTGTCCTTTTGTAATTGACTCACTTTACTCAACATAATGGTTTCCAGGTCCTTCCATGTCATGTGGTGTTTCATGCTTTTATCACTATTTTTTGTGAGGATGCAAAGCATTCTATTGTGTGTATGTACCATGGTTTCTTTAGCCATTCTTCCACTGTGGGGCATTTGGGCTGTTCAAGTTTCTTGTTATTGTGAACTGTGCTGCTGTGAACATGGGAGAGCAAGCACGGTGTTGTGTCTCATTTCCCTTTGGGGTATATGCCTAATACTGCTGGATCATATGGGATTTCAGTTCCCAGTTAAATATTCCCATATTCGTTTGCATAGTGGTTGTATGTATTTAAAAGTCCACCCACAGTGTATATGAGTTCCATTCTTTCCACATCCTCTCCAGCATTTGTTGTCTTCTTTTTTGAATTGGGCTAGCACTATGGGTGTTATCTCATTGTAGTTTCAGTTTGCCTCTCCCTGATGGCTAGTGACCATGAGCACTTTTTTCATATGTTTGGTAACTATTTATACTTTTCTCACTGAATTGGGTCGTTTATTTTCTTACTGAGGTGTTGTACAGTTCTGTATCTTTTGATTATTAGACCCTTGTCTGATGTGTCATTGCTAAGATTTTTTTTTTTATTGGTAAGATTTTTAAACCCAATCTGTGGGCTCTCATTTTACTCCTTTGATCAAGTCTTTTGATGTGCCTAAATGACAAAATTTCAGCATGTGCTAGTCATCTATTTTGTCTTCTGCATATGGAAATCCAGTTTGTCCAACACCATTTGTTGGAAAGGCTGTCTTTGACCCATTACATGTTTTAGGTCCTTTGTTGAAGATTATTTGAGACTGGATTGGAATTGCATTGTATCTGTAGATTGTTTTAGGTAGTACTGACATTTTTACAAAATAAGTCTGCCTATCCATGAGCATGGGATAATCCTCAATTTATGTAGGTCTTTTTTGCCTTTTTAAAATTTTAGCTAATTAAATCCTTTTACTGGGGACTCTTACAACTAATAACATTCCATACATCAATTGTATCAGGCACATTTGTACATATGTTGCCATCATAATTTCTGTAGGTCTTTTTTTTTTTTTTTAAGTAATGTTCTATAGTTTTCTCTGTATAGGTCTTTGATTAGATTTACTCCTAAGTATTTCTTTGGTTAGGTTTATTCCTAAGTATTTCATCTTTTGTGTGGTCAGTGTAAATGGTATTGTTCTCTTAATGTCTTTTTTGTAGCTCTCTTCACTGGTATACAAGAATCGGATTCATTTCTGGTTGTTAATTTTGTATCCTACCTTGCCAAATCCCTTGATGTTTACAACAGGCTTTTTGTGGAAGCTTTTGAGTTCTCTCTCTATAGGATCATATCATCTGCAAATAGTGAGAGTTTCATTTCTTCTTTGTCTATTTATTCTCCTGTCTCTTTAGTTCATGTTTCCCTCATTTCTGGTATACTTCCTTGCTTAGTGAAACATGGCCTCAAGTTGCTTTCTGGAAAAGGGAACATGGCAGGTAAACTTTTTGAGGATAATGGATAATTGAAAATGACCTTTATTCCTGAGTGCTAACTTGGCTGGTATGTTGACTAGCTATAGGGTGGTAGCGCTGGTAGAGCTTTTCCCTCAGAAATGTGAGGCATTCATTCACTGTTTGCTATCTATCCACTGTTGGAATGTCTATAGCTATTTTGGTTTCTGATCCTTTCAAGATAACTTGTCCCCTCTTCCCCTATGAGTCTGGAGAAGTTTCTGAGAGTCTTCAGTGCTTTGAAATTTTATAATGAAATTCCTTGGTCTAGGTCTAT